AAATGCGGGGGAAAGATGGAGGAAAAGATGGGGAAGGAGAGAAGACAACATACGTCCCGCGGATCTGCCCAATATGACTAGCTAACCCTTCAAAACTTCCATACCAATGCACAGGTATGAAATCCACAGTACAATTCGAGCCCAAACTCGTACACGCATTGTAAAAGCTGCTCAACCACGTCCAACCGGAAGGTCCTCCCGTCACAGCCGGCGCCCCAATTTTAATCCCCATGGCGCGTAGAGGCTCGACCTGATCGATCCACAACGCCGCCGCGGCCGCAGGCAGGATTTGCGAGCCCCCAGTAGAAGAAGACCCATCTGGTTCATTGAAAGCGAGAATATGAGTAATGTTGCGACCGCCAGACACCAAAGATTTGACATCGGACAAGAAGGTGGTCGAGGAGCCCCAGAGCATGGGCACAAATTCAAATTCTTCTTGCGTGAGGTTCGAGTAGGCGGGGGAGGCGGCAGTGCCATAGTTGTAGTACCAGGTTAGGTCTGAGCCGGAGCGGACCCAGATTTGGTTGTCGGAGGGGTGCTTGGTGCTGGGTACGAAGACGAGCCCGCGTTTAGAGGATGTGCTGATGCTATTGCTGGTGCTGGAAGCGGCGGAGACGGTGCTGAGGTAGCTTGTGACTGTGGCTGCTAAGAGTAGGGCGGTGGTGAGATGCATGGTTGCGGGTTGGATGGTATCGGACAATTGGGTAGGAGTGAGTATGTATTTGGTTGTCGCTGATGAATATTAAATATTAAATGTAGAAATGTAGTATTAAAACAAGATACTTCGTGTTCTTAACCCAAATAGACCTGGAAACCAGAAACAAGACCTTGATGCACCTTCTTGCTGGGTTAAAAGCAAGGAATAGGTGGTGTCTGAAGGTCGGATGAATAATTGTAAGGAAGAAGATGTTGATGACGATATTGTATTCACTATCTCGACAGAACGACCAGACGAACGAAAGAAAGAAATGTGTGAAAAGTATAAAAGACACGAAAAGAAAGAAGAACCCGTATGTAACCTACCTACCACTAATACCTGCCTACCTAAACTAGCTTTTTCCCTCTCTCCCTCCCCTTCTCCAAACCTACCTTTCCTATTTGCGTCGTACCAACATAAAAATTGATACCAAAAATCCCAAGTCGATCTAAATGGTTGGATGATAAAGATACAGGACTAGAACTAGAACGCGCGAAAATGGTAGTGCACCGGCTTTATACTGGGGTTGCGCTAAGAGAGACATATGCGCCTAGTTACTCTAGTACTACTACTACTTCTATTTTCAGACACTATACCACTTTGATATATTGGAAATAGAGATAGTTGGCTTATGCAGTGATTGGAAGAAATAATAAGAGATGATGAAGAACTCTTGTTTTTCATTGGAAGAGTTGTAGGTTGGCGTGTATTCTGCATAATTGTATGGGTTATTGTTCAGCTTGTACTCAGAGTATCGTATGCTGCTGACCTTACAGAAGACCAAGACCCTGGCACTCGGGAGGCTTGTTGGTCGTACCGGTACTCGGATGTGTATAGAGTAGAGAGTACAGAGTACATAACAAGAGTACAGAATATAATGCAAACACAAAGGAACCCTTCGTAATGGGATGCACGGCTCAGGAATGAGCAGCACATAGTGACTACTGTATGATAGCTTCATTATCAACACACTGCCTATTTTGACTGTTACTTACAATACACCATACCATCTAAAGACCGATAAGCTTTCACATCGTGATGATGCTATTGAGTCGGAAGAGCGAGCTTGGAATTCGCTTGTTTAACTACTGTACCGGTACTCGAGTTAGGTCATTCTATCAGTAAGCTACTGTATCCTCCTTTATACCGGTATATCAGTATTAGACATCTAGATCAGAAAATCAATATATAACCTAGTTTAATCTTACCTTACCTTACCGATACTGATGTTGATACTGGATACTATTAATCTATCGCCATTACTCAACCCAACCCACCCCAACAAAGTACATAATAATTCCACATAACGATAACTCTTCTACATACGGCCATAGACTGAAGAGAATTGGGCATCCCGTCCGCTCTGCCATACACAAGCTTCAGATCGGTGGATTAGTAGTTGGGTGGGTGACCACCAGCGAATCCCCACTGTTGTATGTTTTTTGTCCTTTTGTACTTTTGGACGTTTTGCGAAAAGATTAATCGTTTTGCAAAATGGTGAAGAGAAGACTAATTGATAGTGAAATATATTATAAAGTGGCATCATTTACTCCAGTACCGACCGGTACGTACCAACTCCATGGCTTAGGAGAAAGTCCCCCCTTCAAAGATATACAAAAAATAATCAATTTTATCTGCGCCGATGTGATATTATTTGCATTCCAACCAAAACACTTATCCACGACATGTCATGTCATCCTTACAACTGCTCGTTAACGAACAAACCCGCCATTCCCTGTCCAGTACCAATACACATACTAGTCAACAAAATCTTCTTCTTTTGTCTCCTGCACTCACTAAGACCGGTGACAATTTGTCGAGTACCCGTTGCACCCAATGGGTGACCAAGTGCAATGGCACCACCTCGAATGTTCATCTTCTCGTGGGGAATCTTGAGAACATCTTTGCAGTAGACGGCCATGGAAGCAAATGCTTCGTTGAGCTCGATAACATCGCAATCATCGATGGTGATGTTGAATTTGGTGAGGAGTTTGGGGATGGCGATGGATGGGCCAATACCCATGATTCGTGGAGCGAGACCTGCTACGGTGGCTCCGACAAACTTGGCGAGGATTGGTTGGCCGAGTTGGATGGCGCGGGAGCGTTTCATGAGGAGAACAGCGGCGGCTAGGGAAGATGTTAGCTTGTTGTTTATCAAAGGGGGTATGAATAGATGTGCTACGTACCACCATCAGTGACTTGACTAGAGTTTCCACCAGTTGACCTATCACCGAAATCGGGGAAAGCAGGTCTAATCTTATTAAGACTCTCAAATGTCGTTCCATATCGTGGTCCCTCATCTCTCGTCAAAGTAACCTTCTTGACTTCACCAGTCTTTGGGTCCTTGACTTCCGCAACAATTGGTACAATCTCATCATCGAACCATCCAGCCTTTTGCGCAAGTTCCGCACGAATATAACTTTGCGCCGCATATCTATCTTGCTGTTCACGACTAATGTTGAAGTCCTTTCCTACATTCTCCGATGTCTGTCCCATAGGTTGCATGCAATCCGCAGCTTCTTGGCACTTGAGAATTTCAGGATGGAAAGCACCATCGAGTTTGTCGCCTCCAATCGACATCATTTCCGCACCTATGGCAATACCAACATCGATGCTACCTTCGGCAATTTGATTCGCAATATCTTGCGTTGCTTTGAGACCCGAGGAGCAGAATCGGTTTACAATGGACGCTGCGGCGGTGTTGGGAAATCCTGCTGCTAAGACGGCGGCACGGAGTTTGTATGCGGCATTACCATCGCTGACCTGTAAAATTCTATTGTTAGTCTTGCCTTGTACGAGAGAAAGGGTTTCCTTACATTTCCGCAGCAGACATCTTCCACAAGGGCCGGGTCGAGGTTGGACTTCTCCCGGACCTTCTGGAGAAGAGAGTAGATAAGGTAATCGAGCTTGGTGTCCTTGAATCCTCCCTTGAATGCTTTTGTTAACGGTGTGCGAACGGCAAGTGTAATGACAATATCATCTGCATTTTTCGAGGTACTGTTGACAGACTTGTAAGTATGTTTATAGGCGAAGGGGTTGGATTGGTTACTTACATTGAAGAGAGTCCCGAAGCACCAGGAGTCAAATGCTTGACGATAGAGCTGATTCTTTCAACGGCCATGATGAATGTGTTATGTAGAGTGTTTTTTTTTTTGAAGTTGCAAGAATATGAAAGGAGTTATAAAAGTGGTATTGATGTTATTTAAAAGGAATCTGGGGAGACAGCGATTCTGTGGGGAATATACCGAGATGAAGATGCCTCGGCTCGGCTTACTACCTAGCTGTTTCAACTCCGAGACTAACCTGGATTTGTCATCAACATCTTAGGATGGCTACTATCGACACAAAATTCGCTGATATTAAAACTGAAGTTGGGATAATTTCCTTGATTCTAATGGATTATAGATGAGAAAAAGGTCAACACATACAATTCTTATCTTCTAGGCTACAGCTACATGAACCGGATCTTTCTAGAGTCTAGGTTGACAATGTAGGGAGTCTGGAACTTGACTGGAACTTGATGAACTAGCCTCTGCTCTTAGCCCGAGTATATATAACATATAACATATAACATATAACATGTGATACCGGTACCGTGTTCTTCAATCCAGAAATGGCAATTTATCAAGTACTGTGGTTCTGACAGCCAAACCCCGTGGGCATTATGTAACACTATCCCATTCCCATTCCCATTTCGGTCTTCACAGCTTCATAAAATATATACAAAAGCGGATATCTGCACAGTAAGATAGTGTGTGTCGCCAAATAATGTTGTGCCGCACTATCACGGGAATTTGTGACCCCAGCCTTGTATTTTGCGTAGTATAAGGCTTAAAAGCTCGGGGCTATTTGCTTATGAACGGGGGAGAGAGCATGCCTCAGACTCTTGTCTGGTACTACGGCATGCAACAATTTTATATCTCTTTGAGTGGAAGACAGCACAAGAAGACATATATGCTCAGGATATATGCCGGACACAAGAATATTTTATGTACCCCTCAACAGACCTCACAACACCAGAGAGCCGTCTCATTAAAAAGGCAACACATGCATATACACCGATACTACCCCTAGACCCCAGCCTACTCAAGGCTCAAACCCTCTTCCTTAACATTGCATTCGCATGACCCGTCCCAAGCACATCATACTCCGGAGTTTTGTAGTAAATCGTATTAACATCACCAAAAGCCTCCGCTTTTACACTTGTTCCATTCGGGCCAAATTGCCAGATCTGATCTGCGGCTATGCCCGATTTAAGGGCCGTAGCTTGCCTTTCAAACAATCGCATTAGCCAGTATTCCCTCCCCCTCCTCCATTCTTTGCAAACCATGAAAGAATAAGAAAGAAACATACCAAGGCCCCTCAGTCTCCGAATGATGATACGGAAACGGCGTTCCATACTCCTCCAAAATAATTGGTCTTCCAAATTTCTTACCAATCTTATCGTGCTGCTCTATCCACTCATTTCCCCACGTATAATTGTATCCCCAACTATCCAGATATAAATGGAACACTCCATAATCCAACGTCTTAATTTTAGGATCCGCTGCCTGGTCAATGCCTTCGCCACCTCCATATATGCATAACTCCCATCGCCGATCCCATTCGCCGGAGCAAGCCATCCTTCATCACCTAACGTCACCATGTGATGCGCATCGAGTGATTTGATATGTGTCGAGATATCCGTAGCCCATTTGGTGAGGACGGAGGTATCGCAACCGTGACAGCGAGGTTAATTGCCGAGTTCCCAGGCGAAGATAGCGGGTGCTGGAACGATAGCGGGTGACGTTGGTTTTGATATAGTTCTTGTAAAATTTTTGGCAGGTGGCGTCGGTGTAAAAAGATGTTGCGGAACAATTGAAAGCGTTGGTATAGGCTGCATTCCACCATAGTCAACCCAGTTGTTTACGAAGTTCAGCACCAGCTTCAAGCCATATTTAGAAGCGGCATGTACCACGTAATCTAGTCTCTGAAGACCATCTGCCCCAAAATTTGTATATGCTCCTGTAGAATCGAGGATTTGAAAGTAGACAAGGTTCGGATCGGTGTTGGTTGAAGGTGGAGGGGTATTTGCATCGCCGAAGCCCCATACGCGTACGATTTTGAAGCCCGTGGCAGCCATTTGCGAGAGGGGGGTATCGACATCGCTATTGGAGGAGAGATGTGCAAGCCACCAAGCATTTGTACCTGCAAAATACTCAACCTTACCATCAATGTTGAATAAACGCCCAGCGACTTTAGAATTACTACCACTAGATAAGAATGAATAGGCTGGGATGGGTTGTGAAGCCGAAGAGTCTGATGAGATTAGGGGAAGGGCCGTCGTCAAAGAGAGGAGGGAAACCAGAGTTGTGAGAAGAGACTTCATTTTGAGGATTGAAACCCTTTTTTCTATCGATTAACGATAATTATAACAGATGGGCGTCTTGAATTCCTCCAAAAGGCAATCCATCACCCCTCCGGATCAATAACAAGGATTCTTGAGAGGTCTCGGCACACTGCAGAACAATTATCCTTGTGGAATGACAAGGTGATTCCCACAAGCTCACAAGCTCACCTGGGATTGTCGGTCTTGAGGATATAGTAAAAGCCTTTGTACTGGCTAATTCTGAAAGTACATAAAAAAGGTATAGAGTAGAATAGCGAAGATTGTACCTCCCGATTTAGCCGAAGCGGAAAGTAAGCTCCCGCATCTGAAGAGGCAAAATATCATTCAATTGGGTGTGTAAAACCCACAAGCCAATCTCGGAGCGCAATTCATGGAATTATTCTCTGACGTTTCGATGCAAGAGTGCATGTGAGTTCAAGCTTTAGTGATGTGGAAGCGGAACTGAATATAAAGGGGTATTGAATGTCAATCGCTCATTGGTTTTTCCAGTGGGGATGGGTAATAGTATAATAGCCCCGGATATTCGGTTGCGCATCCGGATGAAATCTGTATGGTATAATACATTGACTTACATAGAGTTTTCAAGATGAACCGGAGAGGATTGGTTCATGCAATTCATATATGCGAAAATTTGCATGATTGTACCACCGATAAAATTCTCGCCTCTAACAGAGTACAGGACGCTTGTCACAAGCTGAGAAGCAGAAGAGTACTACCGCTTGGCAATAAAACAATACCAACTCGCAGACATGTCAAACTGGGAGAACGAATTGTGTCCGAATCAAGCGATTGAAACATCCAGAGAAAGCTCTAAAAGTAGGAAAACCCCATCCTTTCGCCAGCAAATAAGAAACCAACTTACTACTTGTTTCGGAAACCTTCACATACTTTAAGCAACATTAGCATCTTCAAGTACGATCATAAAAGTTCATTGTGAGACCAACCCTTTGAATTCCTTTGGATCTATCTTCAACCGGACCGATCCACCTTAAAACGCCCTTTCACGCGCCCATCGAGCGATAACACCCAGAGGCCGCTTACACTTTCTAGCCACAATCCCTTTGTGAGGAGCACTTCAGTATCGATACCTAGTCGAATAATCTATCCAAAAATTAGCTGCCTGCCTTAAACTTCAACCTCATGCCCCTAGGCCTGAGAAAAGGGAAATGATAAATCACGTACCCTTAGGACTAACAACCAAACCTCTCCCCTTCTTTGCGCCCTTGTAAATCGTCTCGATGATATCTATCATCTCCTGCTTATCCTCCAGCACCCAGTTCAACTTATTATTATTACCCGTTCCGAAATCGCACATCATATGTTTATTGCGAAAGAAGAACATAGTAGTGACGGGATCATATAATTCGTACATGGTTTTGAAATCGGGAACTTGATCAAGGTCGCAAACGTAGATGACGGCGAAGTTTTTGACTAATTCGGCGACCTCTGTTGAACTTCAGTTAGCTTATAAACCGATAAGATGTATCTTGCAAGAAGTGGAATATGTTAGAAAAAAATCCAGCAAGATGGCACATACTGTAAAGCACTTCATCCTGTCGCATACAATCAGGATCAATATCGCGCCCAAAGCGGATCACGACAAGTCTCTCTTCTTCTGACATGATAGCCTGGTCGACATGCCAGCCGGTGACAAGATGAGGAAGGACAACGGAACCCATGATTGAAGAGGATGTGAGATTTTGGATATGGTGATGTTGATAAAACTCTGTTATGACGATGCGAAGATGGATGTGTTGATGCTACACCGGTGGAAACTAAAATTAAAAGGGCTAATGGCGGGGAAATACACGCTAAACCTTAAATGCACGACATGCACGTGATTATGTGACCTGTCTCTCACAACCTTTTGGCTTGCAGCTGTCGAGTATCTAGATAATAATATAGCAAGCATACTGCCTGGCTGTACGGATCTTCCCAAGTGTATTAATAATTCCGCATGTGAGATTGTGCCCTTCGGTATGATAATGTAACCTAGGCAGTACCGTTGTTTGTGGCTGCCCTCTCCGAAATGCGGGGTATGAGGTTAATATAAGCTCAAGCTGAAGCTCACAAAGTCAACTCCCAAGCTTCTCATTCAAGAACTTCAAATAATACCGGTATACCAAAAACATTTAGCATTGTCAAATTTTAAAAAGGCACATCAATATGTCTCAACCAAGTAGCAAGACGACCAGCTCCGAGATAATTTTCTACGATCTAGCCAGTAAAGGTCATTGTGCCTCCTGGTCACACAATGCCTGGAAGGGTACGAGAAAACAGTCTATTTATACTATCTTTCCCAAGCTAATTCTTCCTAGCACGTCTAGTTCTGAATTATAAAGAGATCCCATACAAGACAATTTGGGTCGAATATCCAGATATAGCACCCATATTCGAGTCCCTGTTCGTGATTCCCACATTCTGATCCCCGCCATTCTATTAACCCACCCGATTTATACAGCGGCGTTTCCGCAAACCCAACCGGTATAGCCTACACAATCCCCACTATCCGTCTCCCCGATTCCACCTACCTCCAAGATTCCCGCTCCATCGCCTCCACCCTAGAAACATCCTACCCTACCCCCACTCTCCCCATCATTTCCCCGTATCTCTCCCAGGTCGAAGACCTAATCCCCAAACTTCAACTTTCAACCCGTCCACTATGGATGCCTCTTCTTGCCACAGACCTTCTAAATGATTCCTCGCGTACTTATTTTGAAGAAACTCGAAAGAAAAGAGTCGGCATGCCACTATCCGAATACGGCAAGAAGGAAGGCGGAGAGAAATGCTGGGAAGATGCTAAGCCAACTGTTCGGGAATTGGGGCAACTGTTAAAGGCTAACAATGGACCGTTTATAGAGGGAGATACTCGTAAGTTGCACATTCGATTCTTGAGTTTAAATTGAGAAAAGGAGATCAGCTGATAAAAGGAAATGTGATAGCATCGTATGCAGATTTCTTCATCGTTGCCACATTGCAAATGTTGAGAAGGATTGATGCAGATATCTTTGCACGATTGGTGGAAATGGAGGAGGCTCTGAGGAACGTCTATGATGCCTGTAAACCTTGGTTAAAGCGGGATGATTATTGAGAGTTTTCTGCATGAGCAAATGCTATTAATATTAAAACTTGCCGGTGTTCGCGTCTTGGCTTTGAAACTATCACATTCAATATAAGATTTGAAATCCCGCGTCCCATTGTGTTGATCGTTGTATACATGTCCGCCAAATTCAAACCACTCCGCATGTGTTTCCTGTCAACAAGTCATGATCTGTCTCCGCCAAATTCAATTCACTCCGCATGTGTTTCCTGCCAGCAATTCATAATCGGTGTCAACCAAATTCAATCCACTCTGTATGTGTTTCCCTGCCAATAATTCATGATCAGAGTCAAAATAACATTTTGGTTAAGTTATTTTTCTGGTTTATGGTAAGGTCCAGCCCACGCTTCTCCAGTCATGATGGATCTTAAACTTTCAATAGTCGGCGCTTTATGGAGCGGTCGTCTGGTTCCCAACTGAAGATCTTTTGCCTGAAGTGTGACCCGCTTTCCGTGAATTGCGCATACATTTGCCACTGAGTATCTGGTTAGTATGAATATCAGTATAAACTTAGAGATTAACTTACCAGTTAATTCTTGCACGATGATATCTTCTGCTAATTCTTGAAGAGCATCCAAGGCAAGCTTTTCAATACGATAGTCACCATGTCCCAAACTTGCCATTATTTCTCTAACCATTCGAGCGAAAGGCAATCTTGGAATTAGAAGATCTCCATATCTTTGGTAGCGGTTTGTATCCATCAAAGCTCGCACCAAAAAAAAAGAAAAAGAAATATAGTCAATACCAGTATCTTGATCATTTTGATGGCTATGAAACTTATTACCACATGCTCTACGCCTAGGTCTTCTCTTGGAATGGACTCGATAGACCTTTTTTTTCCTATTCTCAATTGGATGGTTCCTCTTTGCCTTACCCATTCTCGTTCCCATGAGTTGCTTTCGAGGCAACTTGCCGGTCATTGTGTTTGTTCTTGACATTTGATTGATCTAAAACTCTTTAATAATAACACAAAAGAGATAAGATCGGGATACATACCTATTGACGAGGGTAGCAGTAACTATGATCTGAGAGGAGGTGGTTTCGTTGATTGGAGTTAAAGGGTTCAGATGTTCCAATCCATTATCCAAAGTACCATATATTAGTAATTGTCTTAAGTGTATTGTTCAAATTGATGTTATTATAATATTGAAGTTGAAGTTAAGAAGTTTTGAATTTGCTTCTTAGTGAATTTTATTACAAAGATCGATCTAAAGCTGAAGATTTAAAACACTCAAAAGTGAGTTTTTTTTGCAAGATCGATAACATTTCACAATCTTGAAACCTTTATTGATATTCTATGAAACATATAAACATCATAACAGATATGCCAAAGTAGTTCTTCTGGCTTACTCGTAGGTTGAAGAAGTAAATATCTCATCATCTGCGGACCATATTGGCCTTGATTGTATCGATAGATTCGAATCAGTGGAAGGACTAGCATTTGCTCGTTTTGGTGTCGGAGCACCTTGTAAAGATGCATTCGGTGTCCTAGGACGTTTCCGATTTGTATGTGTAGGTTGAGATATCACAACTATTTAGAGAAATATCACATTAAACATCCTCGTTGTTTTCTATGTAGTAAGAAAGTTCAGAAGAACCAGGGTACTTCTATGCTATTTTAGTGATGGGTGTAGTGATAGTATTTGAATATTTGATCTATTTAGATTTCAATATACTATCTGCGATAGAGGCTATAGATATATAACTATTTGTAAGACTCTTGTCTTGTAATGAGATAAATATATAATAATATATAATAATATATAAGCGTATATTGAATAATTGGGGAATTATTTCCACGTAATATACTCGAATAGAAATATTATAAAACGTTCACCTCAATTATATTTACTCAATTACATTCACTAAAACATTCACTCGATTGTATTCACTCAATTGCATTCACCTCAATTACATTCATTCAATTACATTCACTCGAATACATTCTCAAGTACATTCACTCAATTACATTCACTCAGTTACATTCAATTAATTAAATTCGCAGATGCAAAGATCAAGACGGATTCAACAATACCAGATATCGATTTCACAAAATAAAGTACGAATTGTAACCATAATTGAGGGTTATGGTTCTGGTATTTATATTCTCCAATCTAAGATCGAAGAGCCATGTATATTAAGTGTCAAACTCGATGCAAGAAAGTCCTCTTTGGACAAACGGAAAGATTCCATCAAGCAGATGGAGGAAAGGTACATCATGCGCCAAAGGATATTGATGCACAGATTCAAGAGCACCAGGAGAACGGTCATACTGTTGATTTCATCAAAGATGAGGTATGTCGTCTAACCTCCCTCCTCCTTTTATTTTTTTCCTTATGTACAAAACTTACTTTTAAACTTACAGATCAAGAAGATCTCCAATTCAATGGATATATTCACAAACAACAACAACAACAACAATACGAATGTCACGAAGCTTCATCAATCCTTGTCGGAGACAGAGAAATCTCTCACAGATACAAATAGCAAACTGGAAAGAACTCATGCATCCCTCCAGGAGACACAATCTTCTTTTCGGGAAACACTATCCTCCCTTGAAGATATGGAGGATCAATTTGAAGCCAAAGATCAAAGATTTATATGAGCTTCAAGCTCAGTTGAGAGTTAAGGATGCTCAGATATCAACTATCATCCAATCTGCCAAGGTTGATATGACTTCCAAGGTCAATTCATTGTTGGTGCTACAAAATAAGTTGAAGGCAAGCGAGTCACAAACATATCGAGCTCACTACATCGTCTAAATGGGAAACCGAGTCAAATTCTGCCGCAATAATTGAACTGAAATGTCTTCTTGATACGCAAACCACCAGGAACCTCGAGCTGGAAGTCCAATCAGCTAGAGGTAAACAACGACTCAAATATTCCAAGAAAGAGCTTTCTCAGGTTAAATATATTGTCGAATCTATGGTCGAATCATCCACCAAAGCCCAAGAAGAATCTGACAGGATGGTAATTTAGTTGCAAGAAGAAATTAAGACTTTCTCTGGTTTGGAAGAGCATCTAGAATTCACTATATTCCGACTTGAATCGACTATATCTGGACTTCAATCCACAGTCTCTGGATTGAACGAAGATAATTGTGATGCATCGCAAGAAAATCTTTCTCTTCAATCAAAAGTCTCCCATCTGGAGAAAGAGAAAGAGATTATCACCAAACTCACCAATTCCAATTAGTTACTGGGAGGGGAGGTAAAAACCCTCCAAAATCAAGTGCATGCTCGCAATGGCACTGTGAAGGACCTAGAGGAAAAGATTCGGGATCAATTTGCACGATCATAATCTCACTGTGGAGGTATTGGAGGCCAAGAGACAGGATCAATTGCATGGCCATAATCGCACTATGGAGGTATTGGAGGCGAAGATACACGATCAAGTATATGCACACAATGACACTGTGAAGGAGTTGGAGGAAAATCTTCGGATCTTGGGCACTCAACAACTCCATCACCAGTTTTACAACCACAGACTACTCCACCTCGGTTGATTATACGAAGAGGAGACATTGGGTCAGCCATGAAGAAGCGGAAGTACGCGGAGCAACCATCCGAGACTATCAATGGTTGGCAAGTGTTGCTCAATTACCAATACGACACACTTTTTGATTTGATACCAACTCCCGAGATATCCATCGAATCTGTCGGCCATTTCTTCTTGATGGAGTTGGGAGGACGAAGTCAATCTTTTAAACTTCTTGTCAAGTACAAGGATTATCTAAAAACTCAACAGTGGCAACGTCTTCACGCTTAATCATCCAAACGAGTAACACATCTGTTATTGAGAAGGACAAGCCTTGTTCATCCTGTTCCTCCAGCACAGTTGAATGCTGTACTCAATTGATGGGGGACAAAGATGATGGAAAGATTTACTTTAGGATATTGGAAAATGATCCTTACTTATAACTTTCTTAAAGGGTTTAAATCTTCTATGTTTCCAGAACTATATGGTTGTGCTTACAAGCAATTGGTTATTCATACCATATACCTTATAGTGTTTCATCGTGCCAATAGAACCTTGTTAGAAGGGTAGAATCTACGATGGAAGGGTAGATACCGTGGGAGGGTGGAATCTATAAATAGTGGTATTTGAGGATTCACCCAAAGAAATTGCCTTTTCGTTCTCACTGGGTGAGGCACTGGGGCAGTGATATCAGACTGGATATTGACATTATTCCTGCTAGTAGTGGATTGTTGTCCACAATGTCCATATGAATTTCTTTTTTCTTCTCATCGAGTAGAGTATCCAATTCGGTGAATTGTATACTACTTACATCTGTCGCAAAGACAGCAACCCATTGGATTGCATGGTTTGAGTGTTTCTGAAGTGTCAATTCTGGCTTGAACAATCTAATGACCATTTGTGAGTCCATCCATCACTTTTCGATCTCCAAACTTCTGGTTCCCGAGTGACAAAATCAAGTCCCAGCTGGTTCAAAAATATTTGCCAGACCAAAAACCTTTCCCAAATCATACATTGTGTCTAGTATCTTCCGTAAACCTGTGATGTTGATAGATCGATGAAAAAATGAAGATTATTTGTTGTACTTCCACTGATAGATAGTATCTTTTTCCAACTGAGATCACCATAACAGCATTTTTGGAAAATCAGGACATTTGCGGTCACGGTGCGAAAAGAGTGAATAAGTATTGCCATCCTCTTGACGCTAGATCTGATCGCTTGATGCTATGTACCATGCCAATCTTGGTGAGCCACTTGGAAGAAAACATTCCTTCATCCCTGATGCATGAACAACCCCGTTTCCGAACCCCCTGATATACAGTCTGTACATTCGAGAATATTCTATAAGTTTGACGTCCTTTATCTCCATATACATCCCGTTCGCGCCAATGAGGCTTTCAAAATCCAGGGATATTTTGTATATCCGGGCGGTGATTACATTACTTATTATGATATTGCTGAAGAAAGTGCTGTCTGTCTCGCCGCGTCAGAAAGGAACCGCACTAGCTTTCCATTAGTGAAATCTCACCGAGTTCATCATGCCCTGCTCCGAGTGCTGCTCGGTTGTTTACAAGCTTTTGAATACGGGATTGTTGGAATGAGAGGTCTCTTGGATGAATTGGTGAATGTTAGATGTTGGGGGTGGCCGCCATCTAATAAAAGTCAGTACATGTCAATTGTATACCCATCCAAAAATGCTTACAGAGGCCATTGGGTTGAATCAATACTATAGTGGACTTCGTGTCAGAGATAAACTTCTACTCGTACAAGTAGTCTATACTAGTATCGGCTTCTTCTTGCAACACGATCCTTCATGCTGCCGAATGTCCGTATACGTAACTTCGAGGATGGGAGGTTGCATCTCGTATTTCGAATCTTCGAATAACGTCATTCATACAAATAAGGTTATATGATTGCAAACTTTCAAGGCTGATGATCATCCAAGATATCATAAAACGAATGACGCTGCGCCAGTTCGTGGCTTTGTGTCGAGATCTTGGACAGAAGTCCAAGTCCTCTTCGAAACACTCCCAATATTATTAGAAGCATCTTCGACAGCTATCCAAAATCGACTGACGTATGAAAAGTATCTAGATTTGCAAGCTGACCAGTAACAGATACAGCAACGAAAGTAGCAGAAGTACTAGAAAAGCTGTCTGTGACGAATGATAATGCTAGAAAATTGTGTGGAGGATAAACTGTATTGAAATAGGACAGTTGAGCGGGAAGCCTCATATGAGGCATACATCTTGTATACTCTGTGTGCAGAATAGGCTCCGCCTCCTTCTACTCGGTCGTGGTAGGCGCTTAAAATCTCCAGGACCATGTCGATCCAGCGTGCGTGTCAATAGCCCCGCAGATGCATCTCGCTTCTGCAACCAACCCATATCAAATAGAATCATTCGATCGGGCGATAGACTCATCTCTATATCCCGAAGACTTTCTTGTAAGCCTAGATCTTGATTTGAATTATTGAATTAGATTAAAGTATTGATTTGATTTGAGATATCGAATTGTTATAAGTTACTAAATTGAATTATAACATTAATTTGATTTAAAATATTGAACTGGATTGAATCATTGGATTGATTTGAGATACTAGCTTGGTTTGAGATATTCAATCGATTTGAACTATTGAATCCATTTGGAACTCTAAATCGGCTTGAGAGACTGAAATCCGTTTATTTGATCTCCTTCCAGAGATGCATGTCAAAATGACAAGTTTAGAACGCCCCAGGCATCGTATAAGTCGGACAAGTTGCTTCCTTCTCTTCTAAGCGCAATTGTTCAGTGCGTTTCTTTTCCTCCTTGGAGACGTATGGCGGAAATGATGGTAAATCCTCTGAATCGTTTTCGAATACATCGTGAATAGATATGCCATCAATGCATGCATCAGAACATACAAAGCGATAGGGTAATTGAGACCCTGTTACATGCGAGTAAGGGCTTATCTGAACACGACCAGTTCTGATCTCTCGAAGCTGTCTTCTGAACTCCAAATCTATCTTGAGGCGAAACATCCCGACGCTGATATTGAGGTGCTTGCATCTGTTACATTCAGGAAACCCATTAAAGGCTCTCCTTCCCTTATAGCTAGGTGTATTGAACTGGTGCTTGAACAAGACTTCCAGCGTTGCTTTGGTCCAACCCATGGAGCTCAAATGTTTCGCATCGATCTCCCGCTCGATGAATGTATCCATGTCTTGTTTAGATTCTTGAAGAAGCCGCCGCCATGGAATGAACAAGTCTAAGTCGTACATGGCAAGAGTTGTGGGGGTATGTGGCTGATATCGACCCCAAGCCCCATAACCGTGGCAAATATGTAAGTCTGTTGTTTTTTCCATAATCATTTTCACAGAAAGTGGATCCCGATGGAGAAATCGGGCACCAACTAAAATGTGTAGTAATGAATAAGATGTGATGCTGTCTTCGTACATCTCCAAATTTCCTTCGATTTTGCTTATCAACCAATGAATCAGGCTTCCATGATGGCCATCTGATATCATATTCCGGAGATATCCGATTTGAGCAAAAGTACCGGTGCGTAGAGATGGAGCTAATGCTTTGAACACACATATCATGTTCTTTGATATCTCTTCTTGAGGCATGTCGATTTGTTTAGTTGGGCGATAGAAAATGGCTAATCGACCGATAGTACCATATTTATGATTCTTATCCTTTTCGTAAACCTGCAAAGTCTCGGTTATAGCAACTTTTGACCGAGCATCAAGCACAGCAGTGCTCCTCCAAATCTCGTCCATTCCATTTGTACTTGTACTTTTGGTTGTATTTTTGGCTCCGGCAGCGATTAGAAATCTCATGACATCCACTTGGCCATGGTAGGCGGCAGTCTGTAATATGTGAGCGGTCATTTACAAGAAATTGTACGGAGCACGAGAAAACCTACCCACAATGGCGTTCTACCCTGTGGATTTTCGCATTCCAGAGAAGCATCGCCACGATTCAAGAGAATGTTGATACCAGCAACATTGCCTTGTCGACAAAGATCAAAAATCAAGGCATCTTCTGGAACGGCACCGAATGATGAGAATGTGAACATCCAGCCGTTATCAACGCTTGCCGACATACGAATCCCAAAACTCACGCCAAGACGATATAGCCATTTCGCTGGGTAAAATACTACACCAATTCTCGTATTCACGGCTTCTTGGGAACCCAATCCATGGGTTCTTGTAACCTTGCTCGATGCCGAACTGACCCGAAATGAGAAGATAGGTGTTTGACATTCGGTCTCCCACGATGTAGTTCTCGACGATGTATGGGCAGTGATCTGTCGCTTGAAATCACTGGCTGAGATCGTAGCTGTTTCCAAAAGTGCAGATGGATCTTTTTGTAAGACGACTTTATGATTTGTGTCGATCACTATATTAGTCGACCAAGGATACTCATTAATCTTCTTATCTTGATGTGAACTTGTCGGGCTTAGTTCTATGGTGTTCCCTCCCTCCAAGAACATGCCTGAGTCATACGATGGAAGTAGTGCTGTAGCCTTATCCATAGGTCTGAGATCTTGGGAATATTGTACAACGCACTCCTGGATTGCGCTTATGCCTTTCGAGGTTTCTTCTTGGTGTCTCAGAGCCATTTGTACCATGTTCCTGTTGAGTTCAGAATGTCTTCCCATTAAACGGGCATTGGTGTAAAAACATACGAAATTGCATCTTGCTGAATCATCTGTAGAGCCACCAAAGATTCTCTTACTGAAGTACGCATCTTCTTGATTTCATCGTTTTTCAGAGTAACCTTGAGTGCGACCCATTTCCTTTTGCGAAAAGAAGATGATGTAAATGCGACCATGGTAGGAGATAGTGTCGAATGAAGGTTTTCAATCCTTTTTTGACATTTGCTGAAGATTCGCTCGGCAATCAAATCATAGGGGCTATGTCGAGCAAAATTTCTCTGGTTTCTAACTAGAACAGCTGACAGGAGTTCCAGTTCAGAAAAGAGTTCACTAATCTCCCCTGGGGCATCTTCGACAGCCTTCCAGAATTCAACTAGTTTCTTGACACTTTCGGCTAACTGAACAGCAAATGATATGACGGCGATGGCAGCTGATGCACTAGAAAGACCTTCCATGACGAAAAAATTTATCAACACTATACAGAAAATACAAAGCAAAAAAATGAGATGAAATGTGCGAGGATGCGAAGCCTCATAACGAAGTTAGTTCACAAACAAAGGGTTGCATAATGTTCCAAATGAAGCGCCCGGCGCCTATTCAGACGCAGGGGATATTTATCCACGTCAGTAGGCCTGTCAGCGAACTTCGCTTCCATAATTCTACCACACCTCAAAGATTGATTGGATCTAAGTTGATAGCAATGGTTTCAGTTGACTGAAGATGGCAGATTTTGATTGTATCCTTGAAAAGATTACTTGAAAGTGTTCTCTGCCACCCAATGCCACCTAATGCTATGGTATGATAAAGCCATCTGGGAATATCTCATTATTTGTTTGGTCTCCCGAGACCTTTCAGTCGTAAATAGACATCACAGCCCCATCCATAAAGCGATTGAATCTCAATGCCACCCCCAAAATATTCAGCATAAGCTCTTCCAAGGGGCAACCCATATCCTAGACCAGCAATTGAACTAGTCTCACCTCCAGCACCTGATAGAACATTCAGTGCATCCATATTACTATTGTTGTGATTTTGTCCAGGGAATTCGTCTTCGTCCGAGAAGGTCGTGAACGAATATGACCATATATTTGGTAACACCTCTGGGCTAATGCCACCTCCTCGGTCTCGAATACGAATCGTAACACCGGGAGCAGGGTCTTCAAAGGGCTGGATTGGAGGGTTATCGTCTAGAATAGTACCTCCACTAGTTTTATCTGCCGCATTGTTGGTTACTCTTGTAGAGAGCTCTGGTTCGGCAGCTATTGTTATTATCACCGGCTCAGTGGATCTGCCAGATTCAACAGTCGAACGAAAAGCATTCTTGAGCAGCTCTGTAATGATGTATTCTAAGTGTACCGGTACAAACGCAAATGATGTATCTGGTTCCCCATCGATGATCCAACTCGGCCGCACACCATATCTTAACTCACAGATTTCCGAAACAAAGTTCCCACATGAATTTATGATCGATGCTGGGTTCAAGGCTGTATCGATAACACCATTGTAAGACGACGGTTCGATAGAAGATTCTGCGTGATTTTGGGCCTGATGTGGCTGTGACGAAAGATGGAGAGCGATGTGTTGTTCTGCTACAAGCCGTGTACCAATTCGGGCACGAAGATGTTCATCCAAAAACCGTGTTACTTCGATCGGACTGATGTACTTTCGGCACTCGAGGAAGCCCTTAGCTAGCGTAGGGATAGTATGCGCATGTGTCTCGACAAGATCTGCTAGCACTTCCGTGAAACGTATTTCGTCTTCTAATGTTGAGATGGTCTTGTGCGGTAACAGTGTAGAGAGCGAATGGAGGTAATTATTGTAAATCTTTGAGATATTCGGATTCGATACCACTATAAAAGGCAGGTTTCGTAGAGCTTGTATTCGGTGTGCAAGACGGATGGGTAGGAGGTCAAGGGTGAAGTTCGCAGATGAAAAGAGTGCCTCTGTTGATAATGGTGGCCGGCCATGTCTGTGATTCCCATCAGTGAGTGTTGCCACCGCGTAAAATGGGGTGACACGATACTAACTTTACCAGATCTTCTAAGCTCAGTTTATGCAGAGGCTTGCTGGCGAGGTTGGCTATCTCATTGTCTGCGATGGCTGTTGAGCTTGGAGGATGCGACCATTTATGAGCCGATGGTGATGGATATCGACCAAAACTTGCACACCGAGAAAAGGGCCTCGAGATACTGCCACGGTGATTTGATTTAGAATGAGAACGAATGGTTTGGGAAAACCATTTCATCGTCAAGTGTTGAGTGTGAGATTCTATGGTTATGAGTCTTTGCGTGGCAGACGCATCGAGTGAGAACCACGAAATTTCTGAGGTCCTTACCTAAACGTCGCTACATTGAGGGGTTCAATTGATATTACGAGTATGCTTCATTCTTTTCTTTCTTTCATTCATTTATCCATCATTGATTATTCACACACCGAGGATAATTACAAAGAATAATCAGAATTTGGTTTCTTATAGATACTGAGTACCATAATCCTGCCATATGAATCCTTGAAAATCTTCTCATTCTTCAGCAGGTGCTGACTTCTGTACCAGCATTTTCACTAGTCACACCAGCAATATTGGCAAGAGAATGAACGACACCGCTCTTAAAAACGACTCTATGCTGTAATCAGATACTTTCCCTCATGAAATACAGGAAACAAGACTTACGTGAAACCAGGGTACAAGCTTGCGCGTTTGTTTTCGATGTAGCCTCCTATTTCTCTGCAATGCTTTTCGGCCCTGTGGAAGATGATTAGTGCCACGGGGTGTGGTATACTCAGATAATTGAATCTATTGCGAATCTCACTTCTCTACTGCTTTCTTCTGATCTTCATCTGAACCTTCTTCCGCGGCTACAATCTACCACCCACAATATTAATAAGTTGTCTCATGAAGCAACTATCAAGATCATATAGGTAAGGTTAGGTACCATGAGTCTTTCGCCGTCATACTCCGCTGGAACCTTTTCTACTCCTTCTTCAGACATGATAACAATGAGGATACTTCGTGATCTGGTAGGGTCTGTGGGAAAGATGTCTAAGATAGGATAACGGAAGTCTGATTGTTTCTCAAGAGAATAGAAATTGGGAAGTTTGGCAGGAAGATGAAGGCTTTATAGCTTTTTATAGCTTTTTAACCCGGCGAATTAGCACTTTCACCTTGTCGAGTACCTCATACGTCATCTCTAGGTCTGACACGTCTACGGCACTACGGGTACAGAGGGGGACAAGATCTCTCGAGGCAAGACCTGATGACACACAAGATTGCCATGAGATGGGATAACTGGGAAAGGATGGATTGATTAAGGAGGAGCTGAGCCCTTTTCAAGACACCTTGCATTTCTTCATCAGTAGTGTTATCATCCGTAGTATGATAAATAACCTGTCATCTGAAAGCCAACTTCAAAACATCATGATAAACTGATAAGCGATGAACCAATGAACCAATTGAAGCGATAGGAACAGGCCGAAGAACAAATGGGGCAGGTTACCGAGGCCGGGCAATTGAATATTTTAGGTTTTGGGGATAGATATTTATAGCCTTATCACCTTCCTTACAGAGCAGAAAGTAACGGTTGAAAGGGTATACGATACGAGTAGTTAGTTTATTTTACCAATTTGCAGACTATATAATAATGACTCATGAAGAAGCATAAGTAAAAGTGTATTGTGTGTATATCGAAATCTATACTCAAACAACATCTAGAACCGACCAGGTACTAGGTTATAGAAAAAAACAAACTAAGAGACTAAAGAACCCAATAAAGCTACTCATATATATATTCAAACACCATCCACGAAAGCCCCACCACCAGCCGCAGTATCAACTACAATTGACTCTTTCAAACCGCATACATCAAAGAGGGCCTTTGGCGTAAGATTCTTTGGAGTTCCTACCACTCCGTCTCTCTTTAATCGTATAAAAGTCTCCTGGATCGCCAAATACGCCGGCGCGAGAGCAGCAAAAGAAAAGATCATGATTCGGAATCCCATCTCTTGTGCTTCTGCAGTAGTGATTATGGGAGTACTGCCATTCTCCACCATATTCAGTAGAATTGGCCATGGAGCAAACTCTCGTACTGTCTTTGCAGCCATCTCCTTCGAAGTGTAACCTTCGAGCAAACCAACATCTGCACCAATATCGCGAGCTACATGCAAACGCTTGACGCACTCATCATACCCAAGCTGTTGTAGTGCATCTGTGCGTGCGATCAACACAATATCGGAATTCATGGCATCTTTGGCGGCTTTGGCTGCACGAATTCTCATGTAGAACTCTGCTTCGGGAACAACCTTTTTGCCTTGGAGATGGCCACAACGCTTGTTTTGGATTTGATCCTCAATGTGAAATCCACCAACACCTGCTCTGATGTAGGACTTGACTGCTTTATCAATTATCAGAGGGCCTGCAGGTTGGGGGGAAAATGTCAGCTTTTTCATTCGATTTCTTGTGTGCAATGCCACTTACCACCGTACCCTGTATCCATATCAGCAATTAGGGGTGGACCATAAGGATCAAGATTTGCAATCATCTCAGCATGTTCCTTCATATCAGCTAGTTGAGCTATGCCAAGGTCTGCCATTCCTAAGCGGGAAGCAGTAGTGCCTGCTCCTGTCTGAAATTGAACGTCAGTAAATTTGTTTTCCCATGACTAGCAAGTACTGCCAGGGAACTTGAACGCACCATGTAAAGTGCTGAGAAGCCAACTTGAAGGGCCACTCGTGCTGAGATTCCATCATATACACCGGGGCAGACAATCAACTCATTGGAGTCTCTGAGCATATTCTTCAACTTTGTGGCACCGCTTGTAAAGCCTGCATGGGGTGTTTGCTTGACTCCGCTGTTGAATGTCAACATGACTTTGTCTGAGTAGGCAGGCATATCGATGTTGAACACATGAGTCTTGCCATCATAGGGCGTGACAGAACCATCAGGTGAGCTGGGAACCTGGACAATCTTGGTTAACTATGTACAATTGCATTGAAGAATTTTGCCTACCGAATACTCGGACACAACCGCCATAGACTTCTCTTGGAGGATCGGAAGTAAATCCATGCTGGGAGCCATAATGATGAGGAGGAGTGAAGTAGTGGTAAGTATTGATCTTCTTGTTGATGATTGTTCTGTTGATGTATTACTGTACTATTGGTGTGCTTCTGGTCGAGGTAACTTCAAGCGGGGAAGGAGGGGGGTTTTATAGACTTCCCCGGAATCTTTCTCCAGCATTCATCTCCCTTGCCTCTCCATATTTATCTGCAAAGTTTATTTTTCCGTCCATTGAACATCGGCAGAGACGAGATGCGTCCAAAGATGAATCTCGACCTCACCGATCGATGCCTAATGTATCATCTCGCAGAATGAACACTACAATGTGACGTCTTGGTATTGTGCTTTCAGTCGTATTCCACATCCTCGTGGATGTAGATACAGAAAATCCCGCAATGTCACGTCCTTATCACATCTTCTAGATTGGCTATCATCTCTTTAATGCAAGTGCCGGCGGGCAAATATCACTACCGCTGAAACAATAACAAGGGATACATGAAGAATCAGCACCAGATGTGACTATGATACCAAGAGATGCAGGAAGAACATGACTGTATGTCACCACTCTACAATGCAATACCAAGGAATACATGAAGGATTAAAGTCCAATTTCTTTATCTTGCAAAGCAATACCAAGAGATGCAGTAATCTTCACAATTCCAATCTCACTACCCTACAAAGTAATACCAAGGGCTACAGAAAAATTCAAGCCGAAAAATCCCTAAGTACCCAGCCCTTGGCGATAATTCCTTCAAGCTTTTTTCTATCGTTTGATACTCACTCAGCACCCCCTCTTCATTTTCATGGGGTTCAAGATGGGTTTACAAGATCAGCTCCACGAATAATATAGGACTTCTATATCAAAAAAGTTAAAATATACAGAAACCACTCGCATTCGGAGGCCCCGCCTGAATCACAAGATATTTGATAGGCTGCCTCGGTATCACAGTTAACTTTTAGTACCATCTTGTCAGCTGCGTCCTCTTCTTATATGGTTACAGCACTAGAAGGCCCTTTTTAATTTTGTTTAAGCTGCCCCCCAGAAGCCAAGCGGGCCAAGAAAAGGTTGACTAATCCACAACATGCATCTTACTATTTTGTACGAAATCAACATCAACAAACTAGCTTGTGATTTTTAGATAACAAGATATCAATATTGATCATTAATGATCAAAAATGATGTGTTTTGTTCAATTAAAGCGGTGTGTAAGTTTTGTTACACCATAGTTCAGCAGGTAAGAGACGGAGGTTATGATTTTTGGCCATGTTTACGAAGATACGTATCCCAGCTGAAAGGGGTTCGCATAGTTCTCCACTACAGTTCAACGGTCATTAGCGACCATGGGGTACGCAAGATGCCAAGAAAATGTCAAGATAACGGGCTGACCCGAGTTCTATGCATGAGACAGATTTAGGAGATAAGGTTTAGGTATTATACTTTGCCTAGTCTTCTTCAAATCACGCATAACAATTCGCTCAAGTCTTAGAAATAAATTGCCGTGTGGAGAAGCTGGTGTGGCCCCGCTATCTGCGATATGTATGTAGAATAGTTCCTATCCCCTTTGCTCACGAGTAGCGGAAACAAATTCAAGAAATTCCGGCTTGGCGGGAACGATGTTACCTTGATAAACCTAAAATTTTCGGATTGGGCAGCGTGGGGGACATTCCTCTTGGTCTTACTCTTGGTGCTCTTATTCAAGTAAAACCCCCGCTGCTGCGCATTTCATAAAGGAGGGGGTTTGGCGCTTATCTACCACCATAAAATCCTTGATTCCAAGAACCTCAATTTTCTTTTCCGCCTCTTACCTCACCTTCGGACCGCCCGCAATTCCAAGTCTCTCCAATACTAAACAATTTTCGGGACTCTTTTCACCGAATTTTCAGAATGAAGGAAACTGAAGAAACACTCCCGCACACTAACAGAATGGACATCATCAGAGCCGATAATCGTAGCGAAAAGCCGTTCTCGGCGAAGATGAAGAAACATTTCGCACAAGAAGTAAGCACAGATCATGCTGATATTCTCATGTTGGTCTGCTGTCTCATCACTGGATTCTTGGATAGTACACTGTATAATGGTATAGTAGACAAGCAAACGGTACAAATAACAAATATAGTAGCTGACGTTGATCGTAGCATTCAAGACTTTCGTGTCTATGCAAACCGGTTAGTAATACGAAGCAATTCTCATGAGATTATCCCATCTCTTACCTCCCTTCCCTCTCGACGTCACTTAGTCTAACGACAATTGAATAGGCAACACAATCTTCGTAGCTCTCGGTGCATCAGGACAAAACAATCGACCTTTTGGCTGGGCACGATCGCTCGTTTCTATCGGCTTCTTTTGCATCGGCTCCTTTATCTTCTCACGATCCCATCGGTTCTTCGGTCCCCTTCAACGAAGTACACTCATTGGGTCATTTTTGCTCCAGAGTTGTTGTATCTTGCTGGCAGCTAGTCTAGTTCAAAGCGACGTTATTGAGGGAACCGTACCAGCGGGATTGGAGAATTATTGGAATCAGATTGCTCCGATTGCTTTACTGAGTTTTCGTACGTTGATCTATATAGTTGCTTGTCTACCCTCTCCACTCATCACGATCACGATTGTTATGCCTTGACCGCTGGCTATCATCTCATGTTTCCAGACCCTTTCTAACACTTCACAGAATCAGCCGGTCAAATCGTCTCTTCTCGCGTTCTAGGCGTAGGAGAAGTCCCTACCATCGTCATCACCTCACTCCTCTGCGATCTTCTATCCGATCCTCTTCTCTTCAGTCCCGTAACACAGAATTCGAAGAGAAATAATAGAGCAGTGGCTTTTGTGTTGACGGTTGTAGGTGCGATTGTTGGGGGCTGGGTCAGTAAGGTTACCAAGAGTGTGAGTCCCATGCTTTGGGTGGCTGGTGGTTGTAAAATTTGCTTAACGCTGGGCTGGGGGTTCTGGAAGGGGCGTGCATAGAGATAAGGGGAGGGTTTAAGAAGTAGATGGGAACGGGAATGTCCTGGGTAGAGTGAGAAGAATAGAAGTATACATGGATATAGATTATAAAGATTTCGCTATAATGAGAAGCTCAATTCATCGTCGTCGTCGTCTCATCAATGTTCATTATGACCTAATCTTTCTTCCGTATGGCTAGGCTTGCAGTAGCTAGTCGAGTAGTCCAAATAGTCATGTACAGACCAATATCATCCTGGCAATCTGATAAGCGATAAGGTTTTGTAGCCAAGTCTAACTATTATTGGCTTAGTGTTGTTCATGATCGGTGTTGAATTTTCCGATAGGAAGGTAAAAAAATATTTCGAATCTCGAGAAAAAGTTCAATGTTGTTGGCGCATTACGAAGTAGATTTTTTAACTACTTCAACCGTTAATCATGGAGGAACAAAAGAACAGGCCTCACAGGGCCCCCAAAGAGAAGAAGAAGCAGCAGACCGGAGGTTAGTAATTTCTCTCTGAATCAATTTTCCGCATGCTAATATAACCATTAGAACGTAATCCAAAAGCATTCAGTTTCGCAAATCCAGGGAGATTGGCAAAAACTGCTGCACGATCGCACGATGTACGCATTAAATCTACTCAAGACTCAATGCGCCAGCTTATTGACTTTCGCAGATCAAAGAAAGACGTCTTCATGTTCCTCAAATCGATCGAATCCCAGAAGAACCTCCGCCACGTCTTGTTACAATCGTTGGACCTCCAGGTGTTGGAAAGACGACTCTCCTTAAATCTTTGGTCAAACGATATTCGAAAGAGACACTATCAGATCCCCAAGGACCGATTACGGTTGTCACTTCGAAGCGTCAAAGACTCACATTTGTAGAATGTCCGAACGAGCTCGAAGCTATGGTGGATATGTCAAAGGTGGCAGATATTGTATTGTTGATGATTGATGGAAACTTTGGGTTTGAGATGGAGACTATGGAGTTTTTGAACATTTTATCTTCAAGTGGTATGCCGGGTAATGTTTTTGGAATTCTCACACATCTAGATCTCTTCAAGAAGCCACAACTTCTGAAGGATGCAAAGAAACGACTCAAGAATCGATTTTGGAGCGAATTATACCAGGGTGCGCATCTATTCTACCTATCTGGAGTTATCAATGGACGATATCCGGATCGAGAAATCCATAACATGTCGAGATTTATTTCCGTCATGAAAAATCCTCGACCTTTGATTTGGCGCAATACACATCCTTACACCATTATCGATAGTTTCAGAGACATAACTCATCCTACCAAGATTGAGGAAGACGAGAAGTGCGATCGAACCATTGTATTATCAGGGTATTTGCGAGGAACCAATTTCGCAGCGCAAGGCCAAAGGGTTCATATACCAGGGCTAGGAGATTATTCAGTATCTGCCATGGAAGCATTGCCTGATCCTTGCCCTACGCCATTTATGGACCAAGCCGTAGCCAAAGCATCTGGGAAAACTGGCAGGCGACGTTTGGACGAGAAGGAAAAGAAACTCCATGCGCCAATGTCTGATAAAAGTGGACTAAAAATCGACGGAGATACCGTCTGGATCACTCGTGATAAGGGATTTACTTTCGACGCGGACGCAGAGGATGAAGAACGCGGGGAGGGAGAAGAAATGATCGTTGGTTTACAAGGAGAGAGAAGGCTTTTGGGTGAAACGGAAGAGGGTGTGAGGTTATTCAGCAATGGCGAGACTATCAAATCACTTCCCCAGGAAGAGGACTCGGGGCGCAAGCATCAAAGATCCGCAAGATTTGTCGACCGTGATCAAGGTGAGGATAATGAGGATATCGAAGATGACGGAGTCGCCAGTGACGAAGAAATCGATTCTGGTGATGAAGCAGAGATTACTGAAGAAAAGCTGGGAAAAGCATTCAAAAAAGACAAAGACGATGCTGGCGGTGATATTGAATTTGCTGACAGTGATTCGGATCTTGGTTCCGTATCTGGCGATGACGAAGACGATTCGGATTCAGGTGATGAGGATGGAGGAGCTCGTTGGAAACAGAATATGATGGAAACTGCGCGAAAGCTTCACAGACAAACTAAATCTTACCGCACTATAGACCTGGCGAAACTCATGTACAATGAGTCTCTTACCCCTACAGAAGTTCTTCGAAGATGGCGAGGGGAGATTGAAGAGGAAGAAGAGGACATTGAAGAGTCTGATGATGAAGCTGAATTCTTCAAAAAGACCGGTAAAGAGGATGATGATGCAATCATGGAAGATCGAGCAATTCCGTTTCTTGATTATGAAGAATTGGAGTCGAAATGGTCTGTGGAGGAGAATATCGAAGAACTTCGAAACCGTTTTGCTACAGCTGAATTATTGAAAGGGAAGGGTAAGGGCAATGGCAGCGGTAGTGATGATGATGATGATGAAGAAGATAAGGAGGACGAAGATGATGAGGGTGATGGAGAGTTTCGAGATCTGGAAACTGGGGAGGAACACAAAGCAGACGAGCCTGAAGACATCGACGCCGAACGTGAGAAGAATGCTAGAAGAAAAGAAGAACTCAAATTGCGATTCGAGGAAGAAGACCGAGATGGGTTCAACAACGACAAAGCAAATGCAAGGCGAGAAGCTGGTGGAGATGACGAATTTGGTGAAGATGAATGGTACGATGCACAGAAAGCACAAATTCAGAAACAACTCGATATCAACAAGGACGAGTTTGAGAATCTCGATGAAAGTCAAAGGATTAATGTCGAGGGTTACCGCGCTGGAATGTATGCCAAAATCGTTATTGAGGGAGTGGCATCTGAATTTGTGACTGGATTTGATCCACGAATGCCAATCATCGTTGGAGGTTTGACACCAACCGAAGATCGATTTGGGTTTGTACAGGTCAAGATCAAGAGACACAGATGGCATAAGAAGATTCTGAAAACCAATGATCCTCTCGTCATATCTCTAGGATGGAGAAGATTCCAAACTCTCCCAATCTACAGTACTTCGGACAATCGAACAAGAAATCGTATGCTCAAGTACACTCCAGAACATATGCATTGTTTCGGTACATTTTATGGCCCGTTCATCGCACCCAACACTGGATTCTCCTGCTACAGGTCGTTTTCCAGCAAGAACCCTGGTTTCCGAATTGCAGCTACTGGAACTGTCATGACAGTTGATGAATCTTCCGAGACCGTCAAGAAACTCAAGCTTACTGGTACCCCATCCAAAATCTACAAGAATACTGCTTTCATTAGAGACATGTTCAATACCTCTTTGGAAATCGCCAAATTTGAGGGAGCCTCCATCAAGACTGTCTCGGGTATTAGAGGTCAGATCAAACGTGCTTTGGCCAAACCTGAAGGTCATTTCCGTGCTACTTTCGAGGATAAGATCCTCATGAGTGATATCGTATTCTTACGAGCTTGGTACCCGATCAAACCTCATAGGTTTTATAACCCTGTGACGAATCTCATCGGATGGGAAGGCATGCGATTGACTGGTGAAGTCCGTCGTGATCAAAACCTAGCCACACCAGACCTGAAAAACAGTCATTACAAACCTGTCGAAAGAGTTGCTCGTCACTTCAATCCTCTACGAGTACCACGTGCTTTGGCCGCCGAACTCCCATATAAGAGTCAAATTACACAAATGAAGAAACAAGGCAAGCCGACATACATGCAGAAGAGAGCTGTGGTCGTTGGAGGAGAAGAAAAGAAAGCCCGAGATTTGATGCAGAAATTAATGACGCTGAGAAATGAAAAGGTGGCGAAGAGAAATGTCGCAAATGAGAAGAGGAGAGAGGTATACAGGAAGAAGGTTGCGGAAAATGAGGAGAAGAGGGGCGAGAGGGAGAAGAAAGAAAAGCAGGATTATTGGAGGAAGGAGGGAAAGAAGAGGAGAGCTGATACGGATGGTGGCGGTGGTGCTCCAAAGAGAAGAAGATAATGGTGAAGATGGCATAGCATATATTGGAGTTATGGAAAGGAAGGCTTATAGCCACGGATATTAAAATGTAAGACTTATTATGTAGATGTTCCAGGTCGAATCAGATATTTGAAGCTTCTGATCACTTTATGTTCCATTGCAAATCGTATATGAGAGTTCAAGTGATATATTGTTGTATTGTAAAGGTATTAGACGGTTGTATATCGTTGTTTAACAGTCTAAACGGGATTTCTAACATTCGCTCGTCTAGACCAATACGAGTAGAGACAAAGACAACACTCCGAGTCAATACAACTAAAGTGAAGCAAGCACTCGGGATACTGTCGCCCTCCTTGTCCTTGCTAAATTCTTCGCTAACGATACTCTTCGCATCTACATATATACCAGTACTAATATATAAGATCTTACAATAATAATCTCAAATCTTCAGTCGAATACTCGAAAATGTCGAACTCGCAAAGGAAGATCTGAACTCCTATTACGAGTATTCCATCTCTTTTTTAACTAAGGATTGTAGGTTGTATGCATGCATGTATATCTAATACGATGTTTTGGATACTGTAAAGGAGTACGAATCTCCCTGTAGTACAGAGCAACCGGTGTTTTGACCAAATGCTAGGCCCCTGTCTCTTTATCCGAGAGCCGGGATGTATGCCGAGGCTCGATGCGGGCAATGCGGGGGAGGAAAGCCGGATTTATCGAGCTATAGCTTTTATCTACTCAACACATCAATCCTCATTCTCGATATCAGATGCGATTGTATTGATTCTAATCACTTATTTCATTGAATCGCCTATTTCAATTAACCAATCTCGGACCCCTACGTATACAATTATCGCCATAATGCCAAAAGCAATAACAATGCAGAAGATCGAGGGTGGGAAACCGGGCAAAGTTTACTATCCGTCTGTCCCCTTATCTCCCCAGCTTATACTCAGAACTTCCATTATTCTGACATCTCACCAGACTCGAGATCACCGAACACACTACTCCACCCCTGACCCCAACCTCTCTCCTCATCCAAATCCACAGCACAGCCCTCAATCACCGCGACCTCTTCCTACGCCAACATCTCTACCCCGCCCCCTCATTCACTACCCCTATGCTAGCCGATGCCTGCGGAGTCGTATCGAAAATTGGCCCCGGAGCAGATAAAAACTGGCTCGGAAAACGCGTCATCCTCACCCCCGGACGAGGCTGGAAAGATGATCCCTTCGGACCCGAAGAAGAAGGCGGATATAAAATTCTAGGCGGCACGAGCACCATTCCTATTGGAGCATTAATCGAAGAGGTTGTGATTGAACAAGATGAAGTGGAGGAAGCCCCGCGCCATTTGTCGGATGCGGAGGCGGCAGCATTGCCGCTAACAGGGTTGACGGGTTGGAGAGCTTTGGTTACGAAAGGGGGAGAGGGGAATTATGGGGCGGGGAGGAATGTTTTGGTCACGGGCATTGGAGGGGGGGTGGCGTTGAATGTTTTGCAGTTTGCGGTGGGGTTGGGGAGTAATGTTTTTGTGACGAGTGGGGATCAGGGGAAGATTGAGAGGGCAAGGGGGTTGGGGGCGAAGGGGGGTGTTAGTTATAAGAGTGAGGGGTGGGAGAAGGAGTTGAAGGGTTTATTGAAGGGGTATGGGAAAGGGACATTGGATTTAATTATTGATGGGGCAGGGGGTGATATTGTTAGGAAGGCAACTAAATTGTTGAAGGTAGGTTCTTCCCTTTCTTTTTCTGCTCCATCATTCTCCATCATTAGATCCAATTTCACACCCACAAAAACTAATCTCCACCTCCCAAAACAGCTAGGCGGCACCATAGTCCAATACGGCATGACCATCTCCCCGAAAATGGACTGGTCCATGCCAGCCAACATCATGAATCTCGAACTCAAAGGCTCAACCATGGGTTCACGAAGAGAATTCAGCGATATGATTTCGTTCGTCAACAAACATAAGATTAAACCCGTCGTATCGAGAGTTGTAAAGGGAATTGAGAATCTCAAGGAAATCGATGAATTATTCGAGGAGATGAAAAATGGAAGCCAGTTTGGAAAATTGGTGGTGGAGGTTAAGAGTGGGAGTGAGAGTGGGAGTGGGGGAAAGAGTGAGAAGGGTGAGAGTAAGTTGTGATCTTACTGTACTACTGTAGATATGAATATGAATATGATGGTGAAGAGTGAGGGTTAATTTTTGTTAGTAGGTATATAGACGGATAGATGTATATATGGTGGGTTTTGAGGAAGAATGGTTATGAAAGTGCCTTACTAGGGCATCGGGAGCCTATGTTTGTCAACATTTCAGTACGAGATATGATATATATGTGCGAGGTTGAATGAAGCCTTTGTTTGATACCGGTTCTTGTTGTGCTTTCGGAACTGGTTTGATTTCATACGTTAATTCAATTATAACATCAAGTTGATGTTTAGGTCTACGTTCGATATTGAGCAAGGGAATCTTCAACGGTGGGATTCTCTGTCAGATGTATCATATTTGAGATACGTTCAAGTGCTTCTCAATAAGTGAGGTCAATGATCTGGGTTAAGTTTAGTTCGTCTACACTGTATTTGGCATACATAATAATACATATATCGATGAGTTCGAGAATATAAACTGTTGGAATACATACATCAATCCCACTCTTGTACGCGGAGCGTATACAGAACTCCTGGAACGGGTATTCCGAAGAGCGGGTAAGGATTCCCCTATAGTTAGTACTTCCCACTTCGTATGAGGTGGAAGGTTAGACATAATAAATTACCTTTTATACCATATACGTTTTTAGTGTATACACCTTTTGAAGTCTGCCAACATGAACAGAGTGGAAACTATGTCAACGTAGCGACCTGTAGGGTTACCACGCTCACTAGGGGGTGAAATATCAAGATAAATTCATCGGGGACAGACAGTGGGAAAGCTCACCGAGAACCAGTGGAATTCCAAATTAGCTCATCGGGGATTAGCTTGAAGATGGCTGCTCCGGGTAAGTATCTGACGATATTTTAAGCTCTCCGAGAAAGAATGTTTTCTAACCCATGAGTGTTGAGTGTCCTGTGGCTGAAGTTTGATGGGAATGGATTCTAGGATTTCGTGAAATTGGGTGTTCAATAATGATATTGTTGGATCGATTGGGTAATCTATCAAATTGAGGAACTTCTGGGACCATTAGGAAACCAACTCGAGTATGTCACGCACCAGCAATTTTCAACATTCCTCGGCTTTTTGCTTCAAATATATTGCTAGTGGGTATTATTATCTCAATCATGATTCAAATATAAACGCCATTCCCATATCTACATCTCACAAAATTTTTCCTCCCTCCTCTCTCCGAGTCTCCCCAGATCTAAGGACTCTCCACAATATCTACAACCATCTCCCTCGTCTCATCCCGACTCTGTTTCAAAAAAGGAATCAACTGTGTACCCCCTGTCCCTCTAACATCCTTTCCACCCTTCTTTGTCGTCGCAACTGCTAAATTTAATCCCGCGTTCTCTTTTTCTGTACCGCGAGCCATGGCTTTACGAGATGGATTGATGATGTATCGAGTGACGATCTGTATGTGGATATCTCTAAATTCAGCTAGTGTCTCCACGGCATGATTATAGGCTCTAGTGACATCAGATGAGCAGGCTGAATTGTCGACGTAAGTGTGGATGGGAGAGACGTTGGAAATATGTTTTAAGAAGGCGCGATGTGGGCCGGGCATGTAGTTGCGCATTTCCTGGATTTGGTGTTAGTATAACAACTTCATCAACTTATCATATGTAAGTGAAGAGAACATACATCCAAAAAACCATGTCCACCTTCTTTCTTGGGCGGCACAACTTCAGTCGGAGATTTCCCCATAGGTCGAGTAGGTACATGTTTAACACCTAACACCGCATCCCAGAACTGTATCAAGCTACTCTGAGCATTACTTCCCCCACTATATTGTCTCCATTCACCGATTCCCTCTCCCTCGTCATAAAACACACCCCTTGGCAGACCAGCTGCAGCCATATTCTTGCTCCCGGCTAGAAAGGGTCGGATGATGTGGTAGAAGACTTCTGGATCGCATTGCTCGTACATGCGTTGTAAGAGGACCCCGCAATCTTCTATGCAGGTGGAGAATTTCTCTAAACAGGAAATTAGGATGGATGGTTCATTGGCGCGGATGGCGTTCATGGCACTGATCATGAGTGGAATTACTTCTGCGCCGCGGGCTTCGATTGACACGGATACGAGATAAAACCAGGATTCATCGCGGGTATTGGTGAATGTGTGTTGGCAGGAGAGATCGTCTAGATCGGTGAGATCGTGTATAGGTGAAGTGCTGGTGAAATTCCAGAGGTTGAGGGCAGCGTATGTGGCGGTTGGAGGAAGGCCGAGATGAGATGCTACGACTAGGAAGGGTTTTGAGATTTGAGGGGGTAATATCTGTTGTAGTTTAGTTAGTGGGAAAATAGTTTCAATATAAAATTTTGACTTTACCTCTGATGGATGTTTTCCTCCCCAGATATACGAATGTGTCATAAAAGACAGTAAATGGTAGGCTCTTCGCCATTCATCTTCCTCTTGTAGATACGTCGCATCGAGTATGGGCAAAGCATCGGTATGTAATCTGAATGATCCTTCTTTCAATAGACATGGAATATCATCAACTAAATCTTCCCATTCCGAAAATGCACTCAGGCGTGGAAGAGGATCAACATCTGGAAGAAAGCCATTTTTGGTTGAAACTCCAAATTCCGAGAGGTTGATATCTAATGGACCAAGCATGATGGTAATGAAGGATATCTAACAAACAATAGAAGAATAATGTCTTGACAAAGAAATCTAGGTATGCTGTTGCTGTTGCTTTTACTTCTGCACGAAACCTCGGAATATAGATCGAAAGAACTGATAGGAAATTCTATAGACTCGAAACTCAAAACCGAAGATACTAGCATTACTTTTCTACTCCTGACTCCTGCCCAAAAGTCCTGAAATAATACGGCGACAAGGAATACCGCTTCGGCCATTCCCCCAACACCGGTATCCATTCACTCAGATCATGTTGGTATAATGCGCGTGATTATTATCGCGTAAGAATAGGAGGAGAAAAAAGTATAATAGGTGGGGACGGAACACGGAAGCGGAAGCGGATGAAGGGGAAGTTTTCCTTGTCCCGACGGAACGCGAGACAACGGCATCATCACTTGGTGAGTGTCCGAGGAGTGAGAGCGGCTACAAAGTGATCAGAAATGACTTTGAATTGAAACGATCCAATGTTTGTATTCATCTTATTCTTCTCTGATACTCTCATCGCAAAGTAATCCTCAACACAAACTTCGTTGTCGCATATCCATCATCAATAACCGCTACACCGATTTCCGCCATCCTCATCAAAATGGGTTCCATAGCAATGGAAGAACAACCATCGATAAAAGTGGAAAAACCAATCTTTTCATTCAAAGCAAATACACTTGAATATGCGCAATCACTTGATGCTAAAGACCATATGCGAAGATTCCGCGGTCAATTCATTATTCCATCAAAAGCCAACATCAAAGCAACAAAGTTGGAGAAACCAGGTTCGTTTACCTACGTTCTTACCCCGCAATCACATGATCTAACAGGAATATAAACTAATCGTCTACCAGGTCTTTCCGATGATTCTTCCATATATTTTTGTGGAAATAGTTTAGGTCTTCAACCTAAATGCACAAAAGAGTATCTCCAAGCACATTTGGATACTTGGTCATCCATCGCTGTCCATGGCCATTTCCGAGATTTGGAAGATTCTCCGTTGACACAATGGCAATTGCTCGCTGAACATGCCGCGAAACAGTCTGCACCAATTGTTGGTGCTAAGGCTTCCGAAGTGGCCATTATGGGTACTTTGACTTTGAATTTACATGTATTAATGGCTTCATTTTACACACCTACTTCGGAAAAGAACAAGATTATCATGGAATGGAAAGCCTTCCCCAGTGATCACTATGCCATCGAATCACAAATCAAAGGCCATGGATATAATCCCGATGAAGCTATGGTTATGATTGGACCAGATGAAGGGACTTACGAGATCTCCACCGAGAAAATCCTACGCACAATCGATGAACATGCCTCCACAGCCGCCTTACTCCTCTTACCCGGTATCCAATACTACACTGGACAACTGTTCGATATCAAGACTATTACCGCGTATGCACAATCTAAGGGATTAGTTGTGGGATGGGATCTCGCACATGCCGCTGGAAATGTACCATTGCAACTTCATGATTGGAATGTGGATTTTGCGGTTTGGTGTACGTATAAGTATATGAATGCTGGTCCTGGAAGTATTGCGGGAGCATACGTGCATGAGAGACATGGTGAGGTAGACTACAGTGAAGGAGAGGATAAACCTAAGTATCGACATAGATTGACGGGATGGTATGGTGGTGATCAAAGCTGTCGGTTCTTGATGAACAACAGTATGTTGCCTTCTTATCATATTCCCTTCAGACGAATATTAACAATACCCACAGAATTCCGTCCCTCTCCCGGTGCTTCCGGCTATCAAATCAGCAATCCCTCAGTCGTAGACCTCACCTCTCTCTGCGCCGCCCTCTCCATCTTCAATCAAACCTCCATGGCCGAAATTAGTCAAAAAACTGTCCACCTAACCGCCTACCTCGAACATCTCCTCCTCACCTCCAACACCTCAACTACCTCCCCAGCATTCAGCATCATTACTCCCTCTGATCCTTCAGCACGAGGAACCCAGTTGAGTGTGTTATTAAAACCCGGCCGCTTGGAAACGCTATCGAATATGTTGGAAGAAGCGGGTATTGTGGCGGATAAGAGGAAACCGGATGTTATCCGTGTGGCACCCGTGCCGTTGTATAATACGTATGAGGATGTATGGAGGTTTGTGCAGATTTTCAATGCTGCTTTGGAAAAATGCGCGGAAGCTTAGTGTGGGATTTTTGATGGGGAAACGATGAGGTTGTCACGGTGTGGCATAAAAATTTGCATAGGATATCTTGAGGAGTTTGTCGCAGTACATGATCTAACGTATATATCCAAGTTTCTGTTACCGGTGTTCAACATGAACTGAAATAAAACTTTGAAGTGGGTCTTGAGTGTTCAATATAGACCTGGAAATTGAGTTGTTACTGTCACATGGTATCAGACGAGTATTGCGAAATGTCGACATATGAATTAAATATTGATCAATGATACGCATAAGGTATTTAACCAGACCAGCACTTTATAACAACCAGAGGGCCTCCGATGTTATCTATTTTCTTTCTTCTCTAATTCCCTTACCTATCCGCAGCCCGTCTTAGTAACATGGATGTTTTTGGCAGTCCGAAAACCCAGCTTCCGAGTTGGTTTCCGAGCATTGATTAGTGGTGTTCATTCCTGGTTCCGACAATATGGTTCACCCGCGAGTCACAGCCACTGATAGATACCAACAGTTAGGTATCCGAAAGGGGTTGATGTATTGCCGATCCAACTGGCATTTTGGTCGTATGCTTTTCTTATCATGGTTTGTTAGTCCTCCCATTCCTGTATTTGACTGTTTTCTTTTATTTATATGATTTAAACAAATGGATCCACCACCCCCAGCAACCCGCTCTCATCAACCTCTCAAAACCCTCTATATCCCCATCATCCTCCTCCGTCTCACCCTCCAAACCCTCTTAAAATCCCTGCAACCCAATCCCCACACGTCCCGTCCCTCCACTCACCCAACCCACAACCAAATCCTCCGCACAACCCTCCTCCGTTCCCTCCTTCGCCATACCTTCACCATCCGATATCTTCCCTCTCCTCTCTCCCTCCTCCCAAACGCCGAATACGAGCGTTTCGTCCTCATACCACCTTCTCATCATCCCAATCTTTACACTCTAGACTCATCCTCCATCCTCGCTATACGACCCCACACCATCAAACCCGTTACTATCGGCGGGACATTTTATCCCTCGCCTCCACCACTTCCCTTGTCATCTGATAGCACTATCATATTACATTTTCACGGCGGAGCTTTCATCTATGGGAATGGACGAACGAGAAGTAGCGGAAAAGTAGCGAAGATATTAGGCAGTCATTTGGGAAATTATGTATTTTTTCCTCAATATAGATTAGCGGGTGGAAAGGGGGAAGACAAAGACAAAGACGATTGCAAAAGAAGATCAGGCGAAAGAGAAAAAGGTTATTTTCCAGCAGCGTTACAAGATGCAGTTACGGCATATATGTGGTTAATCGACGCAGTAGGATTTGAATCGAGGAATATTATAATATCAGGAGATGGAGCAGGAGGCAACATAGCGATAGGGTTAGTGAGATGGCTAGAGGAAGTGAGGCTGGCTAGTACTAGTGCTAGTGCTAGTGCGGAAGCGAGGGGTGATGCGGGGTCGGGTATGTATATGCCGATGGGGTGTACGCTCTGGAGTCCGTGTGTTGATTTGGCGGGGTTGACGAGAGAGGGGATTAATGAGCATGAGAATTTTAAGACGGATTATATGGAGGGACAGTTTATGGAGTGGGCGGTGGCGGAATATCTGGGTCCGTACCCGCCGGATGATGGGGTGGGGAGTAGGGGGACGGCGGCTTCTTTGAATAGGGAGCGAGAGAGGTTGATTAAGGGTTCGTATGTTTCGCCGCTAAGACATCCGTTTAGGACGAGTGTGGCGATGTGGATAATGGTGGGTAAGGGCGAAGTGTTGTATGATTCGATAGTAGAGTTTGCGGAGAGAATGGGAGGAGTTGAGGGGAATAAAGTGGGGTTATATGAGGTGGATAATGCGCCGCATAATATTTTGTTGATGGGAAGCTGGCTGGGGTGGGAAGAGCAGGCGGATGAGACGGCGAGGGAAGCGGGTGTGTGGATGAGGAAGAAGGGGTGGAAGGGGAGTGGGAGTTGGGAGGAAATGGGGAGTCTTGAGAGAAAGAGGAGAGCGAGGGAGGCGGAGGAAAGGGAGGGAAATGAAGATGGCATATTTGATTGATTTTGGAAGGATTTAATGTGAGATTGAGGGTTTTAATGATTGATTTCAATTTGATGTGTTCAGTACAATCTTCCTCGGAATATGTGTCATATAACAAAAATGATAAAGGGTCTGAAAGAACAGAAGAAGGTTTTTGTTCCTTACTACTGCATCGCTATCAGAAAGAGGCGAGCCCGGATTTGAATCAGCTGGAAGGAATGTATGCCTCAAGACGAGCCGTTCATAAGGCTAATCATCTCCGATCGAGTAATTGCTAGTTTATGGAGAGCCATTTTAATGCTGCGGAAACTTCCGCGTGCCCGGGCTGCATATTGTGGGAATCTTTAGCAGTAGTAGTCCTGATTGTAGTCTTTAGTGCGAAGTGACCGCCGTAGATTAAGATTTGTTCAAAATTATGCGTTGAGTGGAGTATCTGTTATTGTACAATGAAGTGTTGTTAGTACTGTGCTGTCTGTGAGTCTCGCAGCAGGCACTTCAGGACCGGCAGGTATACTGACTTTAACGCCTAATCAGCGAGAACCCCCCCCCCAAAATCTAAACCATGTGAAAAGTCATTGAGTCTTTAGCGGTAGGGAGCGAATCAGAGTTGTAAGCCCATCGCGAATCTCCCCATCGCCGTTCCAGTCCCTCCACTTGCTACCTCAGTCTTTGTTCCCCACCGCTCACTCGCCCCTGTCTTGGGACATGCTACCAACAACATCCTTTCATAAATCTCCTGATCTCTTTCCCCTCCTTCGATGACCCCAAGTACCCAGCCCTCACTCCAATATTCATATGTGTATACTTCCCCAAACTCAACATTAATCTCGGATTGATCTTCCCAACTATCTACCTGTTCATCATGAATTCTTCGACTTAAAACATCCCATGCCCGCCCTGCACCTACACTAACAGGCAGCCCGAAAAGAAGAGGTAATAATCCCCCTATATACCCATCTTTGCTCTCACCATATAAGCACTGTAAAATAACACTAATCATAACCGTCCGTCTCATACTCTCCATAAGTACCCACCTCTTGTGACAATCTTGCATCTCACTTTTCCCGCTACGATTACCTGCCGGTGATCTCGAGTCCATATCTTCTGCTAATAATCCTACATATTCGATTTGAAGTTGATTAGTCCATTGCATCAACAAAGGAATTTGGCGCTCAGCATTTCGTATTTGTCTTTCATTCGAAGACCAAAGACGGATAATCTGGTAGAGAACAAAGACTTGAACTGCGAGGAGCCATTCACATGAACTCCAATAATCTCTTTCGCTCGAGGCGACGAGATTGGATAGTTTGGAGTCGAGGATAGAGAAGGTTTGAGGAGAGCTAAGGGTGTGAAGCGCGCATATAGAAAGGGCGTCGGTGTATGGCGTGTGAAGAGATTGGTCAGATGAATAGAGTTGGTAAATGAAGGAATTGTGAGAGTGGAGAGCAAAGGCTGAGATGAATGACTTTAGTTGGGTCACAAGGTAGCTAGCTTGAGTTGGGCTTAGAGTGGTGCGGAGAGGATATTGGAGAGATGAGTAGGGTGATGGAAGTATATCTATTGGCATAGAAAGGAAGTGGGGATCGAGTGATTCCGAGAAATTAGTGGTTGGAAGTGGTATGTCGAGTGGAAACGATGCGGCGACGGAGTTCCACGATGTGATATCCTGGTCAAGCTGTGGATTTTGATAGTCCAAAACAAGTGTGTTGGTATTATGGTAAGTTTGGGAATCAAGACCAGACTCATGTGGGTCCATGGAGAATTGTGCTACCGCAATGCCCTCTTCAGAGTCTATTGTAGAGCCTTGTGAAGATCTTCTTAGTTCCTTTTGTCGTGTATCCCGTCGTGCATCATTTACCTATATCCACAATTTGAGCTTTTTAGACATCACAATAGGCTGTTGGGGTCTAATGAAAAGAAAAGTTGTCACTTACATAAATACAATCCAGGCTCTTGATCTTGCATCTGGAACAAGCTGGTAGCAGTAAATCGCATCTCCGTTTAGTTTCAACACACCCCGTACATGCCTTCCTTCGTGTTTTGCTTTGGTGGACTAAAACCGTAGCCATAACGCTTTTCCTTGAGAAAGGGCTTGCTATCGACAATTCAATGTAAATATTGAGTATGATGCGGAATTCCACTTCGATGTGATTGAATACTTTATGGTTTGAAATACAGTCTGATTCAAACGACAAAGCACTTTCTTCAGCGGAGTTCCACCACTGTCATGCAGAAACAGTGGGGGTTCGATTGATTACTAATTCTCGTTCCCTTCGTATGTACTGTATTGTGTCACAGACTGAGGAGTCAGTAATGTTTCTGAGAGTTTTAGATGAGAAATTATAGCTATTTTTATATCAGTGGGTTTTGTTGTGAAATCTAACACAAGTGAATTATCATATATTGCATACTCGTAGTATATATACCCATCACTCTTGATTGATTTAGAATCAACCTCATATCTCTTCTGCTTTGATCAACCCATACTCCATAATATCATATCTCCTGTCTTCAGGTCTCATTACCAAGATGACTTTCACCGAACTCGTAATACCATCATTGGTTCAATCAGATGAAGCCCGTGAAGCTTTCAATAATAATATTCTTCCAGCCCTTATATCTATGGCATCTCAATTTCCAGGTTTCATGCTCAGCGTGAGCGGTCAAATATCGATTGAAAACAATGAAGCTGTACTGGAATCAATCTTTCAGCCGTTCCTAAGTCTTGGTGGGTGTTTTTAATGACTGGACCGATGGAGAAGATGGCGCTGATTGCAGTATAGAATGGGACGACTCGCAAAGTTTCTACAACGCCACCCAAAGCGAGAAGTTCCAAGCTTTTGGCGCGACTTTCAAATCATATTTCACTGCTCCACCGAGCCCACAAGTATATGAGACTGATATCTCACCAAGAGATATTTTTGCATCGCCAGTCACCGATGTCTTCAGAATTAACATTCGTGATGATCCTATGAGAGAGGCTGCAGCCAAAACGGCATGGGGCGAACTGGTAAAGGCATTAGGAGATGCAAAAGTCCTGAATGGTGTCAGTATCAACTTGTCGGAGAGATTGTTTCTGGGAATGATTGGCTGGAGTGGAATAGAGGCAAGGTCTCTATCAAAGATTGTCGAACAATATCTGACGTGAATAGCAACGGGAAAGGACATTAGAGAAGGCAGCACATTTGAAAAAGAATCTTGAGAAATTGGATGATGCTCAGTCATTTGTTGCTCGCCCCTTTCTAGATTTTTAGAGCAGGAATTGATAAACACGCGAGAGAGGGGAGGGATTGTTAATTAGTGGCTGGAAGTAATTCACGTGTTTAACATTTCCCAAAATGAACTAGCTTTATTAAATGTGGCTAATGGATGGACTTGTTGGTCATGAATTTCACCTCATCTATCTAAAATACTGACCTTCTCTCCGATTGAGTCTTGATATCCAACGTTGGACAACCAAGAGAAATTGAATCTTCGTCTATTGCTGGCTCAAACTAGACGCCGATCACGCAATTGAATATGCTTTTGCCACGATTATTACCCAACTCGGTCATTTTGTCCATTGCCAGTACTTCTTCACGAAGTTCATTTCAAGATGTGACTATGTTGTCGCGTCGACATAGCTCAAACTCTGCCTCGAAATCTTTGCGGCCTGTTACCGACGATGACCGAAGGAGAATCTATATTATGGGGACGGACGTCAAAGCAAGATTCCTCGCATACTCTCTGGCATCCTTACCTGATCCTCCACCAGTCACGTTTCTTGCATTGAGTCCTGAACCGTTCCACAGTTTCGAAAAGGGTGAGACGAAGCTTACTATGCTATATCAAGCTAAGAACTTCGAAAAGCACACAGTTGCGGGAGTTGGTATGGAGGTTATCGCGCAGACTTCTCATGAATCAGAGAAGCTTTTAAACCCAAAGCGAGACATTGGAAGCCGTCTGTTTTTGGCCGCAAAAGGAGGTGTTAAATGGATAGTTTACCCAGTTTTTCGAATCGTCACCGCGCTTGACCCACTAGATGAACGTGATCGCGAATATCTCAAAGTCTCACCAGACCGGATCGAATCTGGTGTGTGTGATGATGGAAATTTTGATCTGAGGTATGATGGAAAAATTCGAACATTGTTACTGTCTGATACCGAGATACGGCCCATCAGGAACCTAGTTTGTCTTCTTCCATGGGATCAAATACTTGCATCTTTTAAATATATTGCCCATCGCTTGGCCCGAGATTCCATTGTTACGATTGAAAATCCACGTATAGGTATGATGGAGAGCTTACTGAAACAACATTTTTCCAGCGACGCATCTCGACCAACTTTTCTGACTACATCTGTGAACTTAAAGCTCTCCAATCCGCCGAAATTTCGGCATACCTTCCGTACAGCTCTGCCTCCCTTGCTGCAGTATGAACATGTTGCTGCGTCCGAACATAGGTTTAATGGAAATCCCAAGATTGATGAATCAAATACACAATTCACAACTGAAGATGCAGATTTTTCGTACACCGTGATTATCGGGGGTTTTATGCCGAAGAATCATGGCCTTCACATTAGTGACTACGATGGTCCTTCAGGCCGGCAAAATACTTCTCATTATCTGCTGAAATGTCTCAAAAGATCAATGAACCACCAATTATACGATTTTTTTCATCATACAAAACACGATCCGTTTACTACTACTTATAATCAGATAAGGGGCACGATATGTCGTGACGTTGTAGAGTTGCTTTGCATTCATTTTGACTGTCAGCCGAATGAATTAATTGAGATAAAAGAACGGCGAGCACTTGCCGTCAAGCTAATCGTTGAGGCATTGAAAGTTACGAGACAATACCTGCCAGCACATTTTGACGTCCGTACTGTAGCAAATTGGTTGAATGATTTTATACAAGCACAAGAACGGCCCACACCATTTCCTGTACTTATCGATATTGGCAATGGTATTGCGCGATTTCATGATTCAGAATGGCTAATCAGACATGGTAAGCAGTTGAGACCGCAAGTACCATGTCCAGAACATGAGAGACTTTTGCAGCTTGCCAAGGATAAAGCAAAAATGCAGAGACACCGTGAAGTAGAGCGTCTCGAGAAAGCATACGCACAAAGAATCCAGAGCCGGCGTAATGCAAAGTCTTAAATAAGGCGCATTTACCCCAATGAGCCGGTGTCACCTGAAAGGGTTCAGAGGTTGAATAATCTGGAATACAAGCGGGAGAAGGAAGAGTGGCGCATCAGAGAGAATCTCGGGAAACAAGAGATTCCTGTCAACTACACTGCTCCGCAGATTCACAGATTAGAGTCTCTGGAACGGATATCTGTTTCGGTAAATGGCAACGGCAAGACATGGTTCGCCAACACATCACTTTTCTCTTAATTTCTATCTCTACACGGAAAATTGGCTTGGACCGAAACCCATCAACAACGTTGCGCGGCTGTTTTCAACAATTAGCTACATACAAGGATATCCTAGATCATAGCACTCGAACCACGTTTGGGGACAGACGAGGTGTTATGGTGAGGGAATCAGCTCCGAAACGCAAATGATACAACGACGACACGTACACAAGAAACATATTTTATTTGAAGAGAAGAGAGAATCAGAGCCTTCAGCTCAAACTTACAAGCACACACGCATACAGAATGTCGATCATATACCGCAGATGCCTTCCATTTCTTCTTTCTTTGCGTCCCTCTCAGATTTTGAGTTCATACGATAGCGATTGCTTCACAGATCTGATCAGATATTGATTTCTAGCTAAAAAACGATATTGTCTGGATATCACTCACTTAGCTGTAGTAAACTATAGGGCTACAGGCTAGGGCAATAAGCGACGCTCTGACCACCACGGAGCGTATATCATTTAGTATTAGCATCTCCATAGATTAGTTCCTTAAGGCAATACAAATACGTGAAATACGATAGTAGTATTGACTTCATCACCACCACGGTGATACCAACAGATATATTACATCGTTTTCGACCGCCTGTTTTTAAGCAATGCATATTGATAATATGCAATTATTACTTCCTCCATAACTACATTTTATCGTGCGTTCTTGGTTTATACCTACCAAGACTCCAGCATGACAATCCCTTTGATAAATGATAGGAGATTCCATCATATCTAGATCAATGTAGTCAGTCAGTACTTTGAATCAATCAGGAAACTAATAGTTTGAAAAGCTATAGTTCAACTGACATTGAAATCATAAATTAAACGAACTAATAATAAAACTCAACAAACTAAACTGCTAACTAAACCACTAGAGTCTATTTAAACAAACAATGCAATTAGTTAAACTAATAGTTTGAAACCCTAAATTCAACCAATAGTTTGAATAATAAACTAAATCGACTACCAGTTTGGACTCATCAAATTACATTGTCAGTTTAATCAATGCACTATTTCAACTAGATAATTATTGACTAATTACGACCTAGATGATTAAAGTACTACTCAGATCTCATTTTCTGTTTGGCCCTCACCTCACAGCATGATAATGGAAAACACTCATCCGAAGAGCTGGGATTGATACTAGTTGATTTACTACGTACATACATACATACTGTAGGTAACTTACTTACTTCCCAAAACTACCAGCTCTTCGCCCAAGGTCTACGCGATTTCTATCTCTATCTTTAAGTATATGCACTTACGAACAACAAGAATTCACAAGAAGAAGAAGAAGCTAAAATGCAAAATTACGACGATATATACAATTTATTCTCGAAATTCAAGGCTATATTATATACATGAAACAGAGTATTTGCAACTTTAATCAAAGACCCAATAATAATAAAAAACACATCGGAGAAGATTTGTCAGGATGCGTAGGATGCGGATCAGACATCAAAAGCAAAAGAAGAAGATATAGATTTAACATCTAACCCAAGAGAGCACTGTAAGGAGCAACACCGGGGAAATATGATGCTGGATGAGTTGGGATAGCGATACTTGTTGTCAGGCCCAAGCCTTTGGTGATTTCTCCCGGCATAGTTGTATAGGCATATGAACTAGATTATTAATTAATTTCTATCTTGAATTTGATAACTGGAACCGCAAAAGAAGAGGAAAAAAACTTACGCAGTGGGAACAGATGTCACGGTTCCGGTCGACGTATATGTAGTATGCGTGGATGCGATATTGAGACACGGACCACTGCCATACGCATTGCTACACTTGTACAATTCATAAGATCCAGCGTCGGTCCAGATGTAGAAACTGGAGATCGTGATGTCTGTGCAAGGGATGGCTGCTGGACATAGCAATTGGATGGGAGCTCTGGCGGCTCCATTGGCGCAGGTTCCGTGCCAGTGGGAGAAGGTGAGATCGCTATATGTGACGCCGCTGCCGGCAACGACGGATTGACCTGACCATGCGGTGTCAATATCTAGGGTATAGGCATTGCTGTGTCCCATAAAGTTGTTGAAGGTGGCGCCGGAAAATTTACCGGAGCCGCCGTTAGATTTGATCAGCATCATCTGGTTGCAGTTCTGGGAGTAGACGTGGTTGTATTCGACGTTGGAGATGGCTTGAACAAAGCGTTAGTCGCAAGATGAAGTCAAGGAAGAAATAAAGTTTACCAGTGTCAGCGCCGAGACTTCCAATGGCGGATCCACCAGACCAGTTGCAATAGATGCTCTCAACTAGGATATTGCTGGCAGGACTCTGCAAAGGGTTAGAGGATACACAGACAATTGAAACAATATTGAATGCCGTACCTTGACAGTAACGCATTCGTCTTTGTTTGTGACTTCGATATCGTGGGCCCATATGTTAGTACCCCAGATGTCAACACCATCTAAACCACCTTCGTTACCACCGCGAATGACCAAATTGTATAGTTCTCCGTTTGTGCAGGTATCGAGTGTGAGATGGAACGCAGGAGCTGATGGAAAGGGTTAGCGTGATGTAACTAGACCGTTAACTTGGCTTCTGAAATACTTACAGTCAACCAATACAATGTCATGTACGGAAAAGCCGGTGACCTGATAAAGACGCAATATTCTTGGACCATATGTGCCCGCTGTATATATTATCAGCATCGCAATCTTATTAAGCTTCTAGGCAATGGAAAACCAACCCGAGTGAAAGACGTAGCCATAACCCTGGATAGCACCCTTAGAGTTACTACTGTAAAATTCGAAGTCGGTTGTATGCTCGATGAATATCATGTTCCCTCCAGCAGTTCTAGTTAAGATACATGTCAGTGAATGTCGCGATGAGTTGATGAGTCATGAAGCTTACCCAGTTCGATAGATGGTCCCTTCCAAGTTAATAGATACGCCAGTTCCTCCTGTGAGGGTAACCCAAGTCCCGAGACCATAGCTCCCGGAAGGAATGTAGACTTGTCATCAGTTAGCAATGGTACATGTACACTGAACATCCATCGTGTTATCCTACCTTCACCCCCAGATATACATGCTATCCAGGCTGCCAAGATGGCTGGGCCGTTGTCAGTAGTCGCTGAAGCAACACCTCCGTAGTTGAGAATGTTACAGACTTTCTTCGCAGCTTTAGAAGCAGTGCTCGTGGTAGGACCGACTGTACCAGATAACTGTGCAGATACAAGGGCTGGCAAAGCCAATAGAGAGCCCGTGATGAATGAAAGTACAGCAGACTTCATTTTATAAAAAATTATAGGGCAGGAAAAATCGCGATGTACCAGAAAGCTCAATGAGTCATGCTACCTGACGATATGGCAACTTTTAAAGATTCCAAGCATCAAAAGGACTGGTCATTTGGGTATATCTGATACCGTGCATGGAGACTCGTGAAGGACTTCATTGTTCACCTTCCTGCCAAGTGATTGATAGATAACGGTAGGTCTGCAAATTTCAATGGCGCTTCCTCTCTCTTCCCACCAATTATCATCAAGTAGACGGATATTTACTTCTTTACATTCCTTGCAGCACCTCGAAACATTGTTTTAGGTAGAAGCAGGAACAGAACTGTTGGCATGTGGTGGGGCTTTGTTCTTCTAAGATGTATGAGATATAGTAGAAGTACCAACCCGATGTGAATAAAATCAGCTCCTTAACGGTTCCACTGGGAACCTTTCGGAGATTAAAGCTTCTTATCAACCGATTGATAACGGAAGGAGGGTCTATTGAGAATCTCACTTAAAAGCTCTCATATAGTATGGCAAAGAAGGGAATATGAGCCGTCGATCCGTGGATTAGCATTTTTATTGTAGGTGGATAAACTTATCAATATTTCCGACCATCCCGGGGTATATTAAGCTAACTTCTCGGCGAAGTCTAGACCGTAGCTTTCTTCTTCATCACGTGATCACAGATCTCGCGATAACAATCATATCAATTCACTCCACTTCAAACACTTTATCTACCTCATACTGTATACATTTATCGACGACAAGGGGCTGAATCCTACCTCCAGTCTTGCGCATATTGATTTGCAGCGTCTGGCGAGAATCTTGGTGGGTTCTGATCGTCCTTGAAAGTAAGTGTAAGCGGAGTCACGTGTACTACTAGAATAGTATCTTATATAGAAGGTTTCGTGTTTTATGACACTATGCCAGAACATACTAGTCCGCTGGATCTGGAAATCGAAACTGGAGGTGATATTCTGCCATTCCTGCCAATCTATAGTCTATCTATGGTGAGACAAATCATAAATTGCGGCAAAGTTTTGGCTAAGCCAAACGGCGTAGCTGGTTTACATTAGACAATACCGGATCGTCCGTTATAATTTATAAGTGCCTACCGTGATCGTTCCCCAAGGATCGCGTTAGACACCAAGGAATTTATTCCTGGAAAGCGATACATCTCGAAACGCAAAACCTTCAGATCGTTCGGGAACCTAAGCTATATCTTCGAATACGTTGTTGCCAACGAAGAAGTACATCAGCGTAGTCTCAGGACTTACTTCAGCACCTTGTCGCGAAGGACACCACCTGCAGATCTCTCAGTAACATCATCTGCGTGAGATTTTGAGCTTGACAACTGGCTTGTAAGGGAAACGGTTGGCAAGGGTCTCTGTTGCTACTGTGAGTGTCGCAAAAACACACCGTGACCGGTATTTTCGGATCTGTGAAGTTCGTCATTCTGACAGCAAAAACACACGCCGCATTTCATTGCGAGGTTGAACTACTACGAGACTTGCCATCGTATGCATGCAAATTTTATCAGGTTGCTTGCCCTGCTAATATGGCTTTTGGATAGCTACGCCTTTTTAGTTTTTCTGAAGTTCAATATGAACGTGGAGACTGGGTTTACAGGGGTTTTCGGTGAAGAAGACGAACGCTATCTCTTCAAAACCTGTTAAAATTGAGTCACCATTATTTTCACACCCTTTACACGTAGCTCCATCGACGAGCCTTTCGACCAGACTTCCAAGTCAGTGCGGCTCGTTGCTTTTCAGCAGCTGATCTCTTGTACTCTGAAAGTTCCGTCCAATAAGCTTCGAAAACTTGTTTCGAAGCTTCGATTTTGAACAGTCACATATTGCGCCAACACCAGGATATGGTCCGGGATATGGTGCTGACCAGAGAGAAGATGAAGGCTCAGAGAGACCTCGGAAGAGGCCAAGGGTCACTGCATCCACTCCCAGAACCGTAAAGCCTCCCTGTGATCTCGGTTGCCAACTACTCAAGCGCAAATCCGCAATATCTGCGTCAGTGAAGAATGATGACGACTTCTATGTCATCGATCTTGATGGGGCGTCTCTCCCAAGAAAACTCATTCGCCCAAGAAGACTCCCTCTCCTGAAAAGGTCCAACAGCATCACGGTATACTAATGATGACCATATCTCAGGCATTGAGTGCCTTGAATGAGTCCCGACTGAACTTCAAAGGACCTCGATTCAGACTGAGGT